CTTGATTACTCCCCTCCCAGCTGCACTGGTTCAAGTGTAGCATGACTATCCCACAGAATAGCTCTGTGAAATAAAGCATTTGAATCTTCAGTGTCACCCCAGTAAGTTCAGAGCTCAGATCTAGAGCATAGCCCACCGAATGGGTGCAACAGACACTTACAATAACTTTCTGACGGGAGGAGGTGTGAACCTCTTAAATCAAATGTGCTGATAGTGGTGTAGGAATGTGAAACCACAACCTAATGAATAACAGATAGCAGCCTTCAGGCATTAACACCAATGGGATGATGGATGAGGTCATCGGCGTTAATACTTAATGAATGTACATATTTTAAAAATTTCCACAAGTAAATCACTTGTGAAATTTTTACAAGTAAATCACTTCACTACTTACTGTAGTAGAAATTTTCCCATCTTCAGGTAAAATAATATAAGTGTTTGATTTTCTATTGATTTTCGGCAGTTATTCCAAGTGCAATTCTCTAAAGCAATTTGATACTTGGGTGCAGAATCTGCATAGAGCCTCGTGCTTGTCTCCACCTACAGAGCAGTTGCAGGTGTCGAAGTTGCTGTAAATAGTCCTGGGACCAGTATTATGCATCTGTAGGAGGGTTTGGTCGCAGTGCGAGAAATCATTAGCCCTTCTTAACAGTTGTTAAGGAGCTGACTGTCCCAACCTCTGCATCTACTCATGTATCACATGCTTAACTGCTGAAAGCCATACAAATACTAAGGGTATCTGCAGGATCCACATGCCAGGAACTGCACCGGTAAACAAGAACTGCAGCTCACTAGTCCTGCAAGGAGCACTGTATAATCTAGTGGTAAAGGCAGAAGAATAAAGGTCACCTAGTCAGTCTATGATTTATAACTTTATTTACCACAGCTCACGCTGTTTCATGACAACAACCTCCATAAAGAAGGTTTCAGGAAAAGTTTCAAAGCAGGCTATCTGCAGTTTTTCCATGAGGGCAGCTAGGCTGCAGTTGGAATGCAAAACGCCAAACTAGTAAAGTCTGGTTAACTATAACAGGTTAACTCTGGCAGAGTCAGATTGAAATAAAAGCTTTGGCAGCCAGTCTTTCTTGCCTACAGTGAGTCCTTCCCTCTGCACTTGTTTTTTCAGCTGAGCACCTCTGAGTTGCCTGCTGCACTGCAATAAATTCCTCCCGGACTTCTCTGGCACTGGGAAGAGCTCTTCTCCAGCAGTCTGGCAGCAGAGGCACCTCCTGCTCCTCTTGGACACCTCCCAGGTTGCATCCCCCTTGTCTGCTTTGTCTTTCCCTCTCGCTTGCCTCACCCTGTCGCCACAAGCTGCTGGCAGTTCGATGTGCCCTCTGCTCTCTGGGCAGCAGCAATGATCCCTCCTCCTGAAAGGTTTTGTCTGACAAGAGCACCCCAGACAAAGCAAGAAACCCACCTTTCTCCCTGCTGCCCAGTCACAGCCCTTTAACAAAACATTTTGCTATACAACATACCTTAATATTAGTATAGTAAGCTATGAGCAAAGAGATGAGATCACTCTGCTATCCATTACAGAAATTTACAGAGATCTGAGCTGCATTGAGCATCATCACTCTGCTCAGAAAATTTAGTGGCAGGATCTAGAGCTTACGGTGCTACAGCAAGTGCCAGGGTGCAGCCGAGCAAAAAGGGGCAGGAGACGGCAGGCTGACCGGCAGAGAGCAAATGGAGGAGCAGAGCAGAGTGGGAAAGAGATGATGCTCAGAGCAGAGGAGTTCAAGGGGAGTTATTAACTCTACATAACCTTTTCTTAATATAGCAGCAGTGCTCCAGATGTAGAATAGTTTGCACAGGGTAGCAGAGACCTCTCATTAGAAAGGGCAATGCTTCAGGTCTGAGCCAGGCTTTAACAAATGATTCCTGTTTCAGGTGAGCGCTGCTGACAATGCTGTTCTGTCAAGACACAGAGCCCAGCGGGCCCGTGCTGCTGTGCTCTGGTTTATGCCTCTACTGACTGGGCCCCACAATATTCACGCCAGCTTCCCCCGACTTCATGAGGAGCAGCATCTGACCTCTGTGAACATCCATCTTTCCACAAGCATAAGAGCAGAGAGTAGAAGATAGAAATCATATCACATAATCCCCCCCAAATTGGCAGAGGCCTGGAGAAATAAAGTAAAATAAAGAACATAGCAGAAAATCATCACAGCTATCCAGAAATAGAATTGAAGGGAGAGGGTCATCAGTATGGCTAAGAAAAAGTCGGGGTGAACTACAAGAGACAAGAAAGACAATTAAACAGATAAACAGCAGCTGCAGGAAGCTACATGAGTTCTTTGAACCATTTCCCTATTGTTCATGGTGGGAGGGGGGTAAAAATTCTTCTGGGAACTCCCTTCAAGTAACCAAGGCATAGCCATGGCACAGAGCGAGCTCTCTGAGGAAGAGGTGTTGGAGCAAGTAGAGACACTTATTAGCAGTCATTCCTTGGGGCTTGATGTTGTTCTTCTGAGAGATGAGAATGAAGTGGAAACAAAGTAGCGGAACTAACAGAAGTGCTGCTTACCAGGACAAGGCATGTGACCGAGACCTAGTGGGTGGGTATATTCTGGCTCCTGCCTTTATAAAGGGAATTTACAGAGTGCTGATACCGTTTCAGCTGAAAGGAAAATTTTTAGATAGAAGTTATTAAAGGCAGGTTCACAGGCTGTATAGAGGCAGCTAAACAAACAGAGAAAAATGATGGAAGTGCTACTACTGCTGCTAATAACAGTTCCTACAGATAACGGCACATAGGATGCCAAGTTATCTTAAGTAGTCTAGAAAGCAAGGAAAATACTAGGGAACTTATTGACACTATGTGTCTGTTCTCCTCCTGATAGTGATCGAAGTCTTCCAGAAAAAACACTGCTTACCCCTGTCCCTCCTGTAGCACAGCTTACTAAGGAGATATTGTAGGAAAGGAAAATTTCTGGGTAGTTTATGCATGCCATGGAGCAGGCAATTAATGAATGCTTCTGAATTACCTTTGCTGACACAATTACAAATGGTAGCATTCATGAAACTATCACCCTTTTAAAAACAAATGCCAGGTCCTCGATGCTTGTGGCCTCCCACTACAGCAAAATGCACAAGCCAACATGGGCCCTGGAAGGTACAACCTGCTGGTGTCCCGGGCTGGCGGCTCCCTGCTCTGCCCCAGCCTTCCTGCGGGAGGGCCAGCAGCCTGGCGGGTCACGCACAGTTCTTCCTGATCCAAAGGGTAAGGGATTTGGAGCCGACCTGCTGAGTTTCTGTCCTTTTGAGCCTCCTGTCCTGAGGAGCCCGCCGAAGTGCCAGGGGCTTCGGGTTGCTCTTACACTAACGCAAATACAGAGTGGCATCATGAAATCAAAGAAGTTACAATGCTGTAAGTGCAGTGAGAATAAAGTCCTACAATTGTCCTTAATGAGTTTAGACTGGCTTCTTCCTAAGCATTCTTCAGGCTTTTTATTACCAGGTCACACTGGGCAAGCTAATAATCACAGAAATTGCACAGAGCCTTGAAATGGAACGGATTAGCTGAGCTTAACAAACAAGGTACCTCTCAGTTTCTTAAGTCAGATTTTGTGGGTAAGTTAATATAAACTAATATTCATTGATGTTTTTCATCCAAACAATACGTGCTTGTTTTTCCTTCATTCCTACCATTAAATCAGCCGTGCAACAGCCTCTAGCTGCATTCTGCTGTGGTTTAGGGCAGGCAGACCCAGCCTGAATCCTAGATGGGGAATTTCCAGAGCTGACCGCTTGTGCCTAACTATTCTTAGCACAAACCAGCTCACTGTTAAAACAACTATACTGAGTTAAACCAATTATTTACAACTATACTGACTTAAAACAACAAAATGCAGAGAAACTTTGCTTTTGTTAAAAACAAGCTAAGCTTTGAAAGGCTCATACTGCTACAAACTGTTTCCTAGTTTCTGCTTAAAACATTTTTTCCTCACGTGATTTATTTCTACCAAGCAATCATGCCATTTTCATTTGGCAAGCACTGGTTCCCTCAACTCCCACCCCTTCAGTTTTGTACAAAGCAAAAATTAACATGGTTTCATTGGCAGAGCAAGAACTGTTTATCCAGGCATTTATTAACTGGGGAAGTCCTACATGCTCAGATTTGCCATTTTTCGTAATACATGCTTCACTCTGTAACCAAACTTCTCCCACCCAGAAACTCCTGATATCAGAGGTCCAAGTAGTGGCCTGATTTCTGATAGTAAACTGATAGTATGCAGAGCACTTAAAATGAGCTATGTTTCAGTACAGAGCTGGGATCTTTCACAGTCAGTGGTGCTATCTGTTTCTTCCAGTCATGTTACCAGACAAGAAACATTTCTAAACTCCTGACCTAAAACTTGCTCTTCCCATGCACATACTCCTTGGTCTGTAATCTGTAGATTATCAGTTAATCATCTCCCATGTTCCCACTAGCTCCCGATCATAACACTGCACTTTGACGTACTTGCAGGATTGCAGCCAAAATGAAGTTTTATGGCCACAGCATCTCTTTTAAGTTAGGAACCACCCCAGTAGCAACATTAAACTACCACTGTAAGATTATGATGAACTGGGAAGATGAATTTGGGGTTTCATCCACTGCTTTTCGTGTTTCAGGGCTGATATTCACATGGGTAAGTAAAAAAAAGATAAGGTGGCTGTAGCTGTCTCCAGATACCTCAGGAGGTGATGCTTACTGACATTTCTAGCTTGTGGACCACTAAGGACTATTTCTACGAGACCCAATAATGTGATAAAAAACCCAAACCCACTCCCCTTAAACTTAAATTCAGCATTCAGGGTTCCAGATCTTCACTAAGTGTCCACAAAAAGGTTGAAATCTCTTAATTACCTCCTTAATAGAAGGAGAGTAATTAGCCACCATAGGCTATTGCCATGAAAAACAGAAGAAGCATCAGTAAGTTTTTGACAGCAGCGAGATCAGGGCCCTTCCCATGATTTAAACGTGGCCTCTTTGCAATGTTTCTGTCTTGCAGAGAAGTTGTTACTTTCAACCACTTTCTAGAAGAAGCAGCAGAAAAAGAAGTGCGGGGAAAAGCCAGGCTCCAGCACTTCATTGAGAACCTGTTGCAGCGCGTGGATCTGGCAGAAAGGCAGCTAGAATATTACCAAAATCAGCAGATGGTGTGCAACCACACCGACATCAGCGAGCACCTGGTAAGCCAGCAAAGTCCCTCCCTTCGTTGTCACCCACCACTGGAGGGAAAGTACTTGAGTTTGAATACGGGCGGGCTCAGTGGGTCAGGCTAATTGCTGCTCCAGACATCTGGATTTGTAAAAAGTTTCTTTGGACGTGTTTTATTTATATTGTAAACCGCCACTTCACATGAGTGAAAGGAGCAGAGAGTGTAAGAGCAGCAATAGCCAAAAGTGGCAAAGGGAGAGCAGAGAATAATGAAATATTTGCCAGATATTTAATTTTTTTTTCCAGCTTTGGCTATTGCTGCTGTTACCTTTGCAACACACACTTTTCTTTATGTCACTTAGTGACTTGGCAGTTTTTTGGAGATGTCTATACAGATTTTCAGGAAAGATGTGGATCCCCACAGAGGACGAGGACGTGTTAGCCTGCTGGCAAATAGGCTTGCTTTCTGTAGTTACCTATCACGGGACTCTTAGAAACGGTGAATGGATTCCCACAGGCCCGTCCCCTGCAGATTAGAAACCAAAGCTGTCTGAACATTGTTTTCTAAAATACATTATTTCTTTAAAAGCCCTCATTATTAATACTTAAACTCAGTTTTTTCCCT